TTTTTTTACTAACTTGCAGGTAAATCAGCACAGTGAATTTTGTATTCAAAAAATTCCAAAACCTGATTGAAGTGCCTTCAGGAAAAATATTGTTTGGGGAATAAGCTCAATTAATAATCTAGACCTTTAAAAATTAAAATAGTTCTTTTTTCCTGTTTGTACAAGGAGGCAGAAAGCTAAGCACACGGAAAGTTCTGTCCAATGCATAAATTAAGTCCACTGAAAGTAAAATAAGATGGTATCTTTATCTTAATTATTTTCACCAATTAATTGTAACAACAAACTGTAAAAAAACCAGCAACCATAAAACCCCAGCAATGAAGCAAACCGAAACAGAATTGTGCTGCTTAAGTAGAATGTTGCTTCTTTAAGCTCTGCTTCTGGTTGTCAGATATATTCTTTTTTAGTGTCAATTATAAATTTGAAACAGCAATGCAGTATTGGCTCAGGGTAGCCACTGGGCTTTCTAAAGGTTTGGTCCTCCAATGGGTTCACATTCTACCCCAACATTACTGAACACATGTTATAGTAGATTTCAGTGACTAGTACCTCGGAGGATCTAGCCCAACACTGTAGTTTTTTTAAGGCTTGGATTCCGCAATTGAAGCATATAAAAAAACCCCCTTGATTTTTATAGCAGTCTCTGGTGAAGCAAACACTGAGTATGTGAATACATCATCTCAATTCAGCAAACACTGAAGGATATTTTAATTCCTTATCTTCAGATGTTAATAGTGCTCCCCTGATGTGAGCTCGATAGGTGGTTTTGGACTTTGTTGAACTAATCTGTCTTTCCTGAGTAGCAATGTTATCAGGCGCTGGTTCGAGAAAGTAGTTCAGCAAATACTTGTGCACTTCTTGTAGACAAAGATACTTCCAGGGATGAGACCTTTGTGAGGAACTGCAGGCTACAGAAGTGCAGGATAAGACTGCTGCAAAACATGTCAGTCATGGCTGTGCATTACATAGTCCACGCAGATGGCTCTGCTTGCAAAAGAAAGCCAGTTTTGGGAAGATGGAAAAATGAAACAATTACTTCACTCTACAGCAGTGAGCCGGAACAAAGTCCTGTTTTCTCCAAGGCCAAGATAAATTAGAAAATAAATTCTAAAATAACAGCATTTATTAATGATTGGGAAACTTAGGAAAATATATGTAGTCACAAACATATTATTGAAAATAATAATTTTGAGGTTCTTGCAACAAGGGTTTCCATCTTTCCAAGTTACATGCTTGTTATTTCCTTGTTCAATTACTGTGTCAGTGCTTTCCTGTCTTTCTGCCATCTAGCCAGCAGAATCAAAGTCCTTAGAGATCATCTGCATCTCCTGTTTCTCTAGTAATAATTCTTATTTAGAAATTTTATTCTGGCTTCTCCCTCAGGCATATGGCTCAAGCTTGTCTTTATAGTGTGTTTTCCTATGGAAACAAGCTTCCATGTGCATCTTTTTGTCCCTTTTCAATCCCTTTCCCTGTGGATTCTCATGTGCCCTATAATGGCTAGGCTCATGCTATAGTCTTAGGAAAATTAATTGCAAATGTTCACTGCCCATCAGAATCTGGGCTTTTAAAAAAGTATTTCAGAGACTATTTTACTCTCTGCTGGATTTCAGATCTGTTCTGCTTTTGCACAGTGACCTGTTTAATAATTTCTTCCTTTGTCTGTTCTTCATGAAATTTTTCTATGCGTGATTATCCTGCTATTTTCGTGCCTTTACTTGTTCAGTAAACTGTGTGAATAAGTATTGGGAGGATTGAATTAGCTGCTAATGTTTTAAAAGGGGAAAGTGAATATTGTTTGAAAAATTTTCTACATTTTTCTGTGTCATGCCCAAGAATTAGACCAACATTTTTTTGTTCAGTGGTTGTTTGTTGGAAGAGTTATGAAGTTATTAGAAAATACAACAAATCCTGTGAATAAATGTTGACATTTCTGATAACTTTCAACTTAATGTTGTTCAAGAGTATTTCCATTGAATACAATTATTAGTGGCTTTGGAAATCATATATTTAAAGGAACATTAAAATATAAGCTGCTCCAATGCCATTTATTTTTGTAACCAAATAATCTGTTCTTCAATTTCATTTTGTAGACTACCACATATATCTTCCTTTTCAAAACTTGCTGTAACAGGTTTAAAAATATTTTTCTAAAACTGCACTACTTACTGGGTCCCTTTAAAGCCTGGCGATCTCCTCTTACATTTTTCAGTAAGTTAACTCTTGCAGGTCTTCACCTGCAAAATTCTAAAACAGGTTAACCAAAATTAAATATTCAACTTGATCTCAAATTTTCAGGACTAAGAAATGCATTCATTCTGTGAATAATGTCTATTTTAAGCCCTAGGAAGAAGGTAAATAAAGTAATAAATGTTTTAAAGGACAGTAAAAACATATGTAGGAAGATTATTGAGTGTATTAGAATACTGTATGTATCTGTAGGATACAGTCTAAGAAAAACAGAAGTAAGACATACATAATTATTAAAAAGTTCCAAAATGTGCTTCATGGTAAGAGGTTCAAGGATCTCCATCCTTTTGGTTTAAGGAGGTGAAGTTGAGAGGACTTGATTACATTTAGAGGAACTTGGTACATGTGAGGAACCAGGATTTTATAGAAAAAAAATGCTGAAAGAATAAAATGCTCAACTGGCTGGAGATCGACATTTAGACATGTTCAGACAAGAAATGCAGAGTGATTTTAAACAGCTGTTGAAAACTACGCTTCAGAAACTAGGGTTGACTTTCCGTCACTGAAATTTTGAAAAATTGGTGCATTCTGAAAAAAGTGCTCAAGATCCAACAAAAATTAATTCAGTGTGCAACTTTTAGTATTGTAGCAAATTAAACCAGAGCTCCAACACCTGTTTTGGGTCTGGGGGTAAATGTTATTCTTTTGGTACCTTCTCGTTGTGCTTCCACTCCTCACACCAGCATCCTTTACTTTGATCTTACTGCTGTTTGCTCCCACAACTCTGTGCAGATACTGAGGAGTGACTGCAAGGAAATGCCTCCCAGGATGTGGGTAGTTAGAAATGGTCTGAGCAGCCTCGAGGAGAAGAAAGTGCTGGTGTAGTGCTGAATGGGGGAAGGATGGCAGGATGAAGGGCAGGGTTCAGAGCCCTTTGCTATTGCTGGGTTGCTTAGAACTGGCCTTGCTTGGGTTTTATTTTGGTGGCCCTTAGAATATCACTTTTTTTTTTTTTTTTTTGTCTCGAGAAAGAAAACAACTACGTCCTGTATTGACAGACATAAATACAGTGTACATTTCAGACGTATTGAAGCAAGGGTAGTTAGCTGTTTATGTAACAGGCTGTAGGAGGGAAAACTGAAAAAAGTTAGCTATGTTGAAGGAGTAGCTTCTTAAACTATTCTCAGAGTTAAGGTTGTTTTTTATTTAATAGTTGTTTTGGCTTATGAATGGGGGTAGGGTTTTTGGTTTTGTAAGGGACTCTCCTACCGTGCTGTGTAGTGTGAGAGGTGTTTGTGTGCTATGAAGTAGAGTATTTTTGTAACCATTTGGTTGTTGTTGTTTTTTGGTGACTGTTTTACTCAAGAAAAAACAAACAGGCTTAACAGAAAACAGTTCCAGATGGGTGTTTGCTTTGGTCTTGGTTCTTTTTATATTACCTAACAAATTAGTGATGAAAGGATGTCCTCTTTCCCCTTCACCTCTCCTGATCCTCACAGTGGTAATGTTCTTGTTCCTCCCAAGACCATCAGCTCCACTGTATGTGGCCTCCTGCGCTGAAAATTTTGCTACCTGACCTCTTGTTGCCTCTTTGCTCTAGTTCCCTTTCCTACTATGTCTCCTTCCACTCCCTACCCTCACAAGTTTCATTTACCTTTCCCATAGGCCCTTCTGCTACTGTCTATGCTTCTGTGCTACCTGTTTCTATGTTGTACCATTAGGGACACATTAAACATCACAGCCCTCTATTGGGGCAGGGAGAATGCAAGAAGTCACTGTAAAGAGGTTGAGTTTTGAGCCTGGAGACTGAAGAACTATTCGAGCTATAAGGGTCTGATACGGACTAAGTAGGACCTATGAAAGCAGTGAAGTTTCCTAATTTGAGAACAATTCTTACTGGCTCTATGTCCTTCATCTCTGTTTCTCAGCTTTTTCTCCTATGCCGGTCACCTGTTCTTTGCAACACTTAATTGCTTGCAAGTACAGTGTGCCTGTAGGAATACATACTGGGCTTTGTTCTACATGACTACGTGGTGTATAATGATGTCCTGTGTGCACAGATCTGCTTGTAATTAGCAGTGATTCCATCTGAGTGAAACAGCATTGAACCATGGTTTATTCTTTTCAGGGTTTCAAACTATGACATCTTCTGGTATACACACAACCTTTTCTTTGTCTTCTATATGCTGCTGATGCTGCATGTTTCTGGGTAAGTAAATGGAAAATACTGTCCCTTTTCCTGAAGCACAACCAGAAAGAGCAATTCCCTTGATTACTGCCTTTCCTGAGCTCACTTGTGCACAGTGGGCCAGCTTCTTGACAAGATGCTATGCTCTTCAGTTTTTCAACAGGTTATTACTTAAATAATATTGAGATGGTATCTTGGAGAATTGTGCGTTACTATGGCCAGCTAGCACAAACTTCTTCACTTTCAAGTTTATTCCTTGTCCATTTTACCAGTTTCTAGTGGGAAATCAAGAAAACCTCTATTGTTTCTTTTCTGCCCCCTCTTACCTGGCTGCTGAGAGGAGGATGCGAAGAAAAGTTGCTCATCCCTTTCTCTTTCCTCTCTACCTTCCATTTTGACTCCTACGGAGAGGGAAGTAATGGTCTCTCCCTAACTGTCTCTTTCTCATTGCTATGGTACGAAATTTAGTAGTTTTCTAGTTTTCACAAACACGAGAGGAGTGTTCATGTGCCATGAAGCTGATGGTCAGGTCTGTATCTGGCACAACCAAGCCCAGCTCTGCTGCAAGGGAAAGCAACTTCCATGAGTTATACTGTGTGAAAATCTGGTTCATTAACGTCTCTGAAGTTTCCTTTGTGTATGTAGGTGCACAGATTGGTATAGGGAAGAGAAGGTGTATTTGAACAAGGTTTGTTTCTCCATGTCATCAAACATCTACTGAAACACGGGGTGCTGGAATGTCTGTGTGACCACTTAAGCAGCACCACAGCTTAAAGTAAACAGGGAAAGGTAATGAGGCCTATCGAGATCACGGTAGGAATATGTTCTTGAACAAAACAAACGCAGCTTGAGATCTAGTGAATTGAAATGATGAGTTCAAAACAATTGAAACTCCTGGACGCAATTCCATTTCTCTGTGTTTTGTTTTGTTTTGTTCGTTTGCTGTGGCACAGCTCTTGTTCGTAGCTGGGGAAGATGGATCTAACCTGTTCTCCTCATCCTGGGGCAGGATGTACTTCTCCTAAATTACTCTTGACAGGTGTTTGTCTAACTTCTTGAAGACATCTGGTGACAGATCCTCTAGCCTCCCTACGCTATCTGTTTCAGTGGTTGCCTTTGGAGTATTTTTCATGTCCAGTTTAATTCGTCTCCTTCCCTGTATTATCTTTTGCCCACTGTCTTCCTAAACATGTTGCCACTTCATGAAGGAAGAAGTCTAGCTGGAGTAGTTCGCAAACAAAGGCTGCAGGAATACACCAAGCATTAAACAGGCATCTTCTTGTACGCAGCCTCCTTAATATTGAATTGGAAAGGCTTTCAGTGTGAAGCTAAAATAATCGAGTGTCAGCTAATGGTGAGAGAAGAATGAGTCATGGAGAGTGGGAGTCAGCTGAAGTTTAAGATGCCTAAATGTAGGTCTCTACATGTTTTCTAAGTGTCTGTCTGCCATTACAGTCTAATGAGTTCTGATAAATACAGTCAATAGAGCCTCGAGAATGCTTCAGCTGACCTGCTGTTACAAAGATGTACATTCAAGCGAGCTAGATTGATTTCTGGGCTCCATTGGTTTTATTGATTAGAAGATCTCTTCTGAGAATAAAGGAAGCTTAGACATCCATGCTTAGATGCCCAAGTGACTCCCCCATGGCATGTCTCTTTCTCTGGCATGAGATTTGCAGACACGTGGCCAGTTACTTTGCAGAGGAAGGGATTTCTTGTGGCTGGACTGTGGAGGCATACTGAGTGAGGATTTATCTCTCTTGGGAGTCTCTCCTTTTGAGTATTTCCACAGTATTCCTGGATTCTTGTTTTGTTTCAAACTATTATAGGTATGTTCTTACAGTATCCTCTTCTTCAGGGTAGCCAAGCACTTCTCAGCAGTATATAAAGTGGCATGATTCATCTGTCATATGTTGTTGCTTTGTTCTTTCATCCCTACCCTAAGGGAGAGGAAAATATTTCAGGGAATTATCCTTAAAAACTTTTGTTGCTCTTGTACTTCTTGCAATGTGACTTTGAAATATTTTTAGTGGCTTTAAGGCTTGATGCATATCTACATTAATCTAGCTATATTTTAAGCCAGTAATAGCAACAACAAACAATAGTTTATATAAAAACAGAAGCTCGATGTTTCTAGTAGCAATATAAGGAGTTATAAAACATATGAAACATTTAGAGCCAGATCCTCAGCTGATCCAAATTTGGTATTACTGTGGAGTTAAGTGGGATATGCTGGTTCATAGGAGCTGAGAATAAGTGTCACCAGAGTTATCCAATGTTTTGTCTTCTGAAAGGTGAAACTTCTTAAGATTCCACCCACACATTGACCTTTAGGAGAACCCTCAAGCAACCCGCCTTGAGTTGAGAAGCAGAAGATGTATGGGAAGATAGGAGCAGTGTAGTTCCCTATAAAAACATTGAGAACCATTGACCTCTAGCTTATCATGAAAATCTGAAGAAATAGTAATATGTATTTTCCAGCTCTAGCCAGAAGTGAACGTTGTCTCTATTTTGGGGTTGGAAAATTGGGGCAGAGGTTGTTGTATGCCCATGCGAACTGACTGCATGCTGTGTTGCTCAGACGATAGGACAGTTTCATGACTTGACATTTTTGTCTCTCCCATTTTTGTTTGCTAAAGATGTCTGTCTCCTACTTACTGACATCCACACACTGATTTTTATGCATTCAAGTATTATATCCTCACTTATTTATTCAGTACATTTTAGGCTTAAGAGTTGTGCAGAACTCAACCTTTCTGGAAACTGATCTTGGGTGTGTAAGACAATTTGCCTTTCCTTGACATCTTCAGAAATGGGAGTCATTGCAGCTGCTCTTAAACAGGCAGCTTTGTCATCCCAGTTTGCCACTCAGTTAGGATGTTTGTAATAGTTTAAACAAACTAGAGATTGCTGGAGGGGATGCTCATGTTTGCAGTTGAGCTATTCACGTCTCAAGGAAAACTTTGAATCCTCTTTTGGGATGTTCTGAGAACAGAGAAGCTGTGAGAGCAGCTGGTAGGCATGCACACAAGGTTGACTGGAAATATATTGCATGTGCTGTGACTTCCAGCTAGATCCAGAAGGCACCATAATATTTATGGAGCAGGGAACTAGCATAATGCTGGGGGTATCTCTCACTTTGCAAATATGCGATGACTAGCAGTGATGCCAGATACAAGGAATAGGCATGATCGGGCAATAAATACAGATGGAAGCATGGATGTAACTTCCCAAGTGATTCTCCCAGGGTCATATGTGGAGTTTAGAGTGAGCAGGTTTAGCTTCCAAGCTGTATGTTATTCACGGGACCATGTGGGAGGCTTGTTACTAGCTGTCAGGACTGCATTTCAGTAGGGAAGATTGCCAGTAGCCTGTTGGAGCCCATTTAAATTGGGAATATTGCAGATGTCCTACTTCTCTATGAGGACAGGCTGAGAGAATTGGGGTTGTTCAGCCTGGAGAAGAGAAGGCTCCGAGGCGACTTAATAGCAGCCTTCCAGTACCTGAAGGGGGCTACAGGAGAGATGGGGAGGGACTCTTTATCAGGGAGTGGAGTGAGAGGACAAGGGGTAATGGCTATAAGCTGAAAGAGGGTAGATTGAGACTAGACATTAGGAAGAAATTTTTCACTGTGAGGGTGGTGAGGCAGTGGCCCAGGTTGCCCAGAGAAGCTGTGGATGCCCCATCCCTGGAGGGGTTCAAGGCCAGGCTGGATGAGGCTTTGAGCATCCTGGGCTAGTGGAGGGTGTCCCTGCCCATGGCAGGGGGGTTGGAACTTGATCTTTAAGGTCCTTTCCAACCCAAACCGTTCTATGATTCTATGATTCTCTCTCTTCTTGTGAATTAAACTTTGTTACTGCTGCTGCTGTATGTGTATGTTGGGGAGAGTAGGGGGTAGCATGTGTCCTCACCTCATGTTTGATCTTGTACTTGACATGAGCCTTCACCCTGTGGCCTAGCACTCAGAAAGCGTGTCTCACCAGACATTGTCAGCGTGCCTTATTTCACACCCAGTGCCATCCTGTACAGCTGTCATTTAGCCCTTTTTTTTTTTTTTCCTTTAATATTCCTCCTTGTGGTTTTACTGTCATGAAGTCCAGATTTGGAGGCAAGTCGTACTTCTGAGGAATTTAATTACTAGTATTATCGGTTCTTACCTGTTTTCAATGATTCATTCATGTGTTGAGATATCCCAGAGTGTCTCAGGTTTCCTCTTCTTTCTTCATAGTCTCTAGCTGCAGCTGCAAAGTTCTCACTTTGTTTTACTATAAATTTAACTTTAGCTTAAAAAAAACAATCATGGACTCCACAAAATAATTTTCAAGAGTTTCCTTGGCTATCTTGCAGGACTTTTTTTACCTTCTATCTGTTTGACAAGATAATATTCAAAGGCACAAATTATACCATTGTGTGCACACCTGAAGAACACCAAGTAGCAGGAATATTCCTGCAGTTTATGATTTGGCAACTTAGGCCACTTCTGCTGCAGACTGCCTTAAAGAACAGCTTGCTGACTGTAGGGAGCATGAGTGAAAACAGCCTGGGTGTGATTAAACTGGAAATGCGATTATTTAATTTTTTTTCAAGGCTCCCATAATATTTCCCCCTTTCAAGCAGTATTAAGCTTGAGGCTGTTCAGTGGTGGAGTGCCAAGTGAGCTGGAAAAGTTAAACCTTGCCTCTAGTGACAGAAGGTCCTATTGTTGCAAAGCTTCAATCTCATTGAAAGTCCTGAAAGCAAATGGAATAGAAATTCTTACAGAACATGAGCCTTGTAACTGCTTTCTTAAACCCTCTTTGAACTGAGATAAGTTGCTTGGTTTTGACTGTTGCTTCAATGTCCTTGCTATTTTTATTTTCCTGTAGGGGAGTGCTCAAGTACCAGACCAACTTAGAGGAACACCCTCCTGGTTGCTTTAATCCTAACAAAACACTCCGACAGAATATGACAGTGCCAAACTATTTTGAAGAGCCGTTTCCTGACTATACTACTGAGCCTCTCCGAGAGGACTTACCAGTAGCAGAACCCTTTGTACAAAATAACTTTATGAGAATTTGTTCTGAGGAACCCAAGTTCCAGTCACACTTCCCAGAGGTCTGTATGATCCGACATTTCAGGTATTACAAACCATGCCAAGTCTTTCAGTCAGCCATGACCACTAATTATTGCTTTTCCAGACCAGATGTTTTAATAATGGAAAATATTATTAAAACCTTTTCAGGCATTCAAAGATTTGGTGGGGAAAAAAGCAATCTGTATTAAACCTTGCACTGCATTACAATGTGGTGCATAGAATAGGGTGGAAAAATGTCAAGAGTTTGGCTGTAATGTTCTTTTTTGTACGACACGATAAGTGATGTATTGGTCTTGCTATAAATGTGACTTTAAATTACAGCGTAGCACTTTGGAGCAAACATTTATATAACGTATTCATAAGGTCCCTTTGTAAGCATTGTGTGGCAGTAACTAATTAAAATAATCAAACTCCATTTGTTCTCTTTTTTACCACGCGGATGCAAGTCCTAATACTCATTTCTGGGTTGCAGTTGGTTGTGGTTTGGCTTTGTATAGGCTGTTGTTTTCAGACAGGCTTGTTTTATATGTGGCGTGGGTAAATGAGTGTGATGACAGTGGGGACAGAAAAGCCTTTTCTTTTTCTGTTTTTCATTTTCCTTTTGTTTCTTTATGTTTTGTGGCAGCAGCTTTTTCTTTGTCCAGATTTTCTCTTTTGAGAAAAGATGAACTGGGCTGTATAGGCAAGTAGCCTGAGGAAGTTTGGGAATATGGAGTTCACAAGTCCAAGGCCCACCATTCAAGGTGGTCCCATGATGGACCTCACAGGAGTTTGTTATTGTTATAACTTTTGTGTAGAACACATATGTCCCTTACTAGCTGCAGTGGGAACCCGTTTTGCTATAGAGCATGTAATCGTAATAAGAAACACTCAATTCTACACTGAAGTCCTCCAACAAAGTTCTTTGGATTTGTATTTTGTTGCGGTAATACTCCTGAATTAAAGCATCAATGTATCTGCCTCTATATGACCCACAGGCCATCAGACAGTCTTCTTTGGGGCTTAAGATGTCTACGTTAAAGCATCAATGTATCTGGCTCTATATGACCCACAGGCCATCAAACAGTCTTCTTTGGGGCTTAAGATGTCTACTTTAAAGCCATTTATGGGAAAAAAGAGCCATGGAGAGAAATAGCCACTCAGTGTTCTCCTGGCAGCTTGTAACATTATTTTAGGATTTTTTTTGTATTTGGAAGTATTTTATGCACTTAGTGATACCAAGTCAAAAGAACAATAGCCTCAGGTCTTGTGAGGTCTTGCACTTTTGAAGGCCAGAGGTGCCTGAGGAAATTAAATACTCCGCTAGTTGCAAGAGATGCTGATGTGTAACTTCAAAAATTGGGAGGGGAAGATGGATGAGGGTTGAGGGCACTTCAGTGCCATGGCTAGAATGACTGAGCAGATGTGGAATTAGTAGTTAGCTCTGCCATAAGCTGTTAGTAATTGACTTTTAGAATGGGATTTAGCTGAGCAGCGGCAAATGTCTCCATCTGAGGTAGTCACCAAGGGCTCCCTGTTTAATCAGTGCAGAGAAACAAGCATTTCCAGGGCATTATTTGTCTAGTATACATATCTTCCATATGGGTAATGAATCATGATTCAGAAGTGGCCTTGTCTATGATTTCACACTAGCTTAATATAAGCATAAATTCTCTAGCACAAGAATTGCTTCTTTCTGAGTTTTTTCTTGTACCTGAGATGATTAAAATAAAGTGATAGTCAAATAATATTGCAAGACAGAAAGTGTTTTTTCTGTAAAGGTTAACCAGCTTTATAGTACTCTGGGTTGTTAGATTTTGAAGCAGTGTATGTACTCTCTCATCCACTGCTGAAACCAGTTGCAATCTAATTATGTAAAACCAGAGTAACATGGTTGCAAACGAGGTCATTAGCATTTTGGTCCTGATGAGTTTTATGATTGAAATTGTTTCTGCTTGTGGATGATGCTGCCTATTAGACTGATTAAGCCCCCATAATGCACATGGATTTCTGCACATAGAGAGATGTGGAGGTTATTTGTGACCAAAACACTGTTCCACAATAGATGTGAAATGAGGTCTTGTGAGTTCTCATGTAGTTTCAAAATTAACAAACTTAAAGTCCTTGAGGTAACCTATTTTTGTTCTCCCGTAGACGTGGTTTTGGATTTCTGGACCTCTGTGCTTGTACTGTGTGGAAAGGCTGTACCGCTACATCCGCAGCAATAAACCAGTCACCATAACTTCTGTGATAAGCCATCCCTCCAATGTCCTGGAAGTAAGGATGGTGAAAGATGACTTTAAAGCAAGACCTGGTCAGGTGAGTTAATGGGCCCTTAAAAAATCACTGCAGTTCATGTAGCATTGTCTGTGGGGATGACTTTCACTTTGTTTGTACTAACCCATCAGTGAATGTTTTTAACATCTCTTTTCTATCATTTTATTTTCTCTGGGTGATTTTGTTTCAGTATGTTATTCTACACTGTCCAAGAGTGTCCGCACTGGAAAGCCATCCATTCACCCTTACAATGGTAAGAAATATGATTTATTTCTGTACTTTCCCTTTTACTTATATTTGGTAAGCAAATGGCCTTTATTTCCTTCAAGGTGAGAATTCCCTGCAGAAGAGTTTATGCTTCATTTATTACGGTACCAATGAATATGAAATAGCATGATTATTATGTATTACAGTACTCAATACATATTTAATTTTCTCCACTGCTGAGAAAATATTAATGGTAACTTTTTTCAAAGTCTTCCATAAGCAAAAAACAATAATAAATAAATAAAGTCCATGTGATTTTGATCATTGTTTAATAACGGAGGTTTCAGCCATGTTTGTAGACCTTAATGTAGAATGAGCACAAATTATAAATAATTTTCTGTTGTCTTTCCTATTTAATGAAAAGATGTTCCTGCAGCTACCTTTTCCAAAGTTAGAAAGCATCAAGTTTAAAAAAAGTTTCTAAAATAGTCTTCTGCTTTATTTTTCTATTGAGAGATAAAATGGTGACTTAAAGTGATATACCAATGAAGTCATACAACTATTGGGATTATTACTTACTCAGATCAATTGATCTAGAATGGGAACTAGACCCCCTGGAGACAGGTTGGAATAAAGTGAAATTGTATATAAACATATGTGAAGTTCTTCAGGAGTGGGCAGTGCTACTTATGTTTGATTCTTGTCTTTGGACTGATTATATCCCACTGAGTTGTACCTAGTGCTATGGAACAGCTGAGATGTTTATTGTTACCCGAGATTCAGAGGGCACAACCAGGTCCTGTTCACTTTCAATTCCTTGGTTTTGTTGGGTGGTTTTATTTATTCATTCATTCATTCATTTATTTTGTTTTTTAATTTATTTATCTATATGCCCAGCCAGGAGGCAAGTACTGTCACAGGGGAACCCACACTAAATTCCACCCAAAATAAATTTTGTGCTGTAAATCTGGGATTGAATCTCACTTAAGGGAAGCTGCCTCTGTATAGCTTGGTGAAGCAATATTGGCACTTGCATAGCCTGATTTTTGCAAAGTTTTTCTGGCTATTCACTTTACTGGCAGAAAGCAGAGGCGTGTATTATTTATTTGTTGTTAACTCCAGTAGGCAATTTTTAAGGCTTTCTTCTGTAAAGGGCATGAAGATCACTAGATACACAAGGCTGAAAAATGGTGTGCATTAAATATGATGCAATAGTAGCTGATTTTTTGTGCAGAATGCTTCAGTCAGTATTTCTTTATATTTTTTATTAGTTTAGTGATCAGAAGATAAATTTGAGGAACTTAGCTTAGGTCTCAGATTGATCTTTACACTCATTTGGCCTGAGAATAGCTATATTTAATAAAGTTAGACCTATTCTATACCAGTGGACACATCTTATTTAAACATTAATCTCAAAACATCATGTTCTTAATTTCTCACTCTCCATCTCAGTGGAAATTAAAACAATGGTATTTATTTGATTATTAGTAGTAATTGCACAGTTTGGGAACTATGGGACTCTTATAAAGATTTACTTTTCTTACATTAGGGCACTGCTAAAACAATGGATCGTGTGATTCAGATTTCCAGAAATAGTGTCATCAAAGAATATTAGGCCTGGTTCAGTAGGCTTTTCTCTGGCAAAACTTCTTATTTGTTATGATGAGAGTGCTGACATGGGCCTGCTGGGCTAGATCATAGAATGAAGTTGAATAGGATGTTTTATTAAGTCAGATTCTTTGCCTGAGTTGAGGATTTCATCCAGTATTTAAAATGGCATGTGATAACAATGCATGTTATGAAAAATGATTTTTCCATGAAAACTTCTAGATCTAGGACCTATGGAAAACAGATCTCGTGAAGTCTGAGTCTTCTTAGTGAATATAAATAACTAATTTATATTCAGATAATGTGCAGTATATTTCCCATACATAAATCTAGCTGATGAATTACAGTTTGTGTAATTCTACAGTTGTGTATTAAATATGTAACATTAGAACTATCAATTTCCACTCATGCACAATGCATTATATTTTAAGTATGTAATACTATACCAGTCAATTTCTGTTCATGCTCAAGGCTTTACACTTTAAAATACAATTATGTCCTTCAGCATAACAGCATACCCTTCCAAGATCACATCCGTGTTTTAACTATTACAAGATCCTTCAGCATAACAGCGTACCCTTCCGAGATCACATCCGTGTTTTAACTATTACAAGATATGAAGTTACCACTGAGACAATGAGCTTCATTTTTACTGCCACAAACATATTTTGGTATTTCCAACTATGCTGGAGAAATGCTGTTATTGGGTAAATGGCTGTTTTACAGCATAATGAGGATTTGAAATGTCTAGGTTTATGACAATCTTTTTTGCCCGGCCTAAGCAGGGGACTGTTGTTTCCACATGTCTTTCTAGGTCGTAGAGCATGCCTTGGGCTGCTGTCCTGCTTAGAAACCTTTTTCTTGTTTAATATGATGCCAGACGTGGGACTGTGCTTAAAGAGTGTGTAGGCAATAGCTTAACTCAGTATTTTTTCTGTTCACATCTGACCTACTTGTAGTTACCAAGCAAGTTGGAACACTACTGCTGGTTCTTTTGTTGGATGGTGATAATCCCTGGGTCATTTTTCTGGGCTGGTGTAGGAGCACGGGGAAGCACAGTGCCGTGGTGACTGCAGCAGAGCTGGGGGAAGGCTGCAGCCTTCTTCCTGACACTTGTCCTGCTTAGGCTCTATGCAGTGTCCTCTCTAAGCTGATGAAACATCTCACTGTGCCTTGGAGTATGCTTAAAAGACAGGAAATGACTAGTTCAGACATATCTTTATGCTCCAAGCAAAGACTGTAAGCAAAAGTGGAAAGGAAGGGGTGAGTCAGCATGAAGGAGTCATACAGATATCTTACTAGTCCCTTCCCTTTTCAAGGTTGTGTAATATTTACAGTTTAGCTCAGTTTCTTACATAACGCCGGGGTGAAGGAAAACACTGGAAGGCTGTATAAAGGGCCTGAACCCACTCCTGTTGCACTCTGGCAAAGGTCCCACATGTTTCACTCAGAGCCAGAGGGAGCTCTGAATCGCAACCAAGTGAGCATAAAGAGGTAGGCATTGTTCAGAAATGTGTGCAGTGGCGTTTATTTTCTTTTCCTTTTTGTCAATTGACAGCATTCTTCCCCCTGCTGATGGAAGGAATGAGCAGAAGTAATTGGTGCAAAATGCACATGGGAATTTGGAGAGGCAAAACTCGTGTTGCTCTGAACTCAGAGCTGCCAGTCTGGGTTCTTTGCTAGCCTGTGACCTGGCTCTGCCGTCAAAGGCTTCATATCACAGAATCACACACTGCTTGAAATTTGAAGAGACCTCTGGAGATCATCCTGTCCAACCCCCCTGCTCAAGCATGGCCACCTAGACCTGGTTTCCCAGGACCATGTCCAGATGGCTATTGAATGTCTCTAAAGAGGGAGACTCCACAACCTCCCTGAGCAACCTGTCCCAGTGCTTGGTCACCCTCACAGGAAAAAAAGTGTTTCCTGATGTTCAGGGGGAACCTCCTGTGTTTCAGTTTGTGCCCATTGCCTCTCGTCCTGTCACTGGGAACCACTGAAAAGAGCCTGGCTCCATCCTCTTTGCACCCTCCCTTCAGGTATTTATACACGTTGATAAGGTCCCCTTGAGCCTTCTCCAGGCTGAGCAGCTCCAGCTCTCTCAGCCTTTCCTCACAGGAGAGATGCTTCATGCCTTTAACCATCTTCATGGCCCTAGGCTGGACTCTCAACAGAATGTTCATGCCTCTCTTGTAGTGAGGAGCCCAGAACTGGAAACAGTACTCCACTGGCGGCCTCACCAAGTGCTGAATAAAGAGGAAGGATTGCCTCCCTCAACCTGCTGGCAGTGGCACTTGTACACTGAAGTTCAGTCACTCAGAGATCCCCATTTTCTGTCATGATTGATGTAGAAACTGACATTTTCTAACACAATTTTTGAAGTGTGTTTCCACTGTTTTTTATTCACTAGTGTGACTCTTTGACTTTGTTATCCATTGAAAGGGTGGGAATGGTAATGAAGGGATGGCCTAACGTCTGGGATTCCTGCAAGTGACCTGCTGGCCAGTTGTAGGTAGTTAATAGTGGGCTGCTCACTTCATATTGTCTTCAGTGCTCCATTGTCTGATTTCACTTTTAACAAAATCCTTTCTTTTTAACATGTTTTGCCTTACTTCTTTCACTGGTTTCTATACATAACTGTACACAGCTGTTACTATGCTATGTAAAACAGTGGAAGTAACATTTTCCGTCCTATATGCCCTGTATGTCAAATTTACTTATTAGATATTATTGGATCTTACAATTGAATCTGAGCAGAATACAGCTAGCTCCAAGAATTTCTGTAAATAAATATTTTAGTGGAGGGTTTGTAAAGGGACAAATAATTTTTGTCTGTTTCCACTTGGGGAACTCTTTTCAGGAGATTTGTCTTTCAGACCAAGTGTACAATATAGTCTGGAGATCAAACAATCCAAAGAAACATCAGAAGTCTTCTCTTTAGTGCTCTGCTTCCTGAGACTAACATTTCTTTACTTTTCTGTGGAAGAAATTGTGGAACTCATCTGCTGTGGAATAGGATTTAAGTGTCGTTTTTTATAGCAATCTTTAAAGCCCTTGGAAAAAAACAAAAACACAAAACCAAAAGAAAACCCCCAAGCATTAGCAATAGTATGACTTTGCAGTAGTAAGGCTGGTCCTTCATTACAGGTCATACATCCAAAACATTGCTTCCACTCTTTAGTATCATGGGATCATAGAATCATAGAATGGTTAGGGTTGGAAGGAACCTTAAAGATCATTTAGTTCCAGCCCCCCTGCCATGGGCAGGGACACCTCCCACTTGATCAGGTTGCTCAAAGCCTCATCCAACCTTTCTTGAACACCTCCAGGGGTGGGGCATCCACAATATATATATTAAGATCATATATAAGTATACTAAGTCTCACCTCATATCAAAACTAAGAAAAAAGGTTAGTTTATGGAGAATCTTCCTTTTTTTTT